AGTCATTAACGAAATATCAGACTGTAGACGTGGACTGTTGGCATTCCGGAGTTTTAACGACATTTGAAAATTATTTGTCCTGATAAATGTACTTAATTTTAAGATTTTCTAATAAAACTATCGAGAAACATAAGTTTCTCGATAGTTTAAGGAAGCTCTAAGGAATAATCCTTAGCTTATTTAAAGTTATTCAAGCCTACTCGCCGAAATGTGGTTAGAATGAAAATTTATTTTTTCAGTAGCGCTGATAAAATTATTCTGTTTATAAAACAATTTGTAACAGTCAATTATTGAACATAAAACTTGTAGAGGAAATATAACAAGTAGATATATAGATAGAAGATAGTATTTGAGAGTACTCGGAACTTTAAATTTGAGACTCAAGTTTCAAAAAAGAAAAAAACGATTTTGTTTTATAATCGTTGAAGTCTTTTACATTAATAGTCGTATGGCTTTGTATCAAATCGCAAAAACCTTAAAACAATGTCTAAAGCTCCTTAAAATAAAAATTACAGTAGGATTTTAATCTCGTAGTAAAACTTTGTTGTATAAATATCACCAAATGTTAAGTGTTGCGTGAGGCGGAAAAAACCAATGGCTTTTCACGTTTAACATTTATACCAACAAACGGTTGCGTTCAAACGTTACCCTGTTTAAGTTCAAATAGTTTTTTTATTCCGTTCACTGAGTAGATTAGCGCTGCAACATCTTCATTTTATTTACACTGTATTTTTAGACCACTTTTTAACAATAATTTATTTTTAGGAATAGTAAGTAGTTAGTAGTAGTAACCAAAAAGTTTTTTTTTAATTCAGTAACTTCACGTATAAACTTGTAACTTTGTACGAAATACTCTATCGCAGTTCTACATTAGACCGCATTAACGTATATTTATGGACATAGGTTTATAGACTCTATTAATTGTTAACTAGCTGTTGCTCGCGACTTCGTCCACGTGAAACTTAAAATTATAGCCTATGTCATTCAGCGATAACGTAGCTTTTTAATGGTTAAAGAATTTTTGCAACCGGCGCAGTAGTTTTTGAGTTATTTCAATGCAAAAAATGTAAAAATCAAATCTTTCTTCTTTATAATATTACGTATATGTTTAGATAGTTCTTTTAATTGTCATTAATTCATTTGCTATTATATTAGACTAAGCCGATCTATTGCTTAAAACATCTGTTATCGTAATATGATTAGAGTTAAACTTATACTCTGTCAGTTTAATCGATGTTTTGATTGACAACACAATATAAGACGTGTATGAAGACGATTGCGACACACCCATTAAAATGTGCGAGATAATACAATGTCAATGTCCCTAATGCATTAAGTTTCTAACTATTTTTTTGCTAACAAGTGTAATGACCTGGCTATGATAAAACACAGAGTTGTCTATTCAATATACAAACAAATAAAACATTCAAAATTATAAGCTTTAAACAATAATTCATAACTTTTTATCAAGTCTTTTAATTTTAAAATCTTTTCTTATTATTGGAAATTAGAGATATAGGCCCTATGTGTGAAAAATAATGAACACAGAATTTAAAAATAAACATATGTGTAATTTCTTAAATAAAAGCATACATAATTGATTCATGTTTCCAAAGTTCATGCACCTTTGCGAAATTTCTCCAGATTGTCTTATCATTTCTTCCAACGTTCTCGTATAATTTATATAATTTTGCCCAATTTTCCTCCCGACCGTAAAAAGTATATGTTATCACATTTCGTCGGGAGTTTACAAATTATCCTCTCAACTTAAGTTCATTCGCTTGAATTATTCTAAGAAACTTCTTAAATTTGAATATGTAGAGAAACGTTAACTTTTGGTAGGTAATGCGAGGGATTTATAATCAGATTGTAAATATTCTATAGACGTATGGTTCAATCATTTCAAACGAATATGTCGTATTGTTAATCAAATACGTGTATGTGTAATATGAATATCTGTTTGTGGCTCTCCCGTGAGAATTTTGATATTGACCGTTGATTTTGAATGACTACAATTTTAAAAAGTCGATCGATGCTAATCAATTGTCATATACGAGTAAACAATTCGGAAAACAGATCAATGTTTTTAAACTACACATGATAGCATTCTTGACCTATATTGGCACCAGATACTTCTACAGCAATGTTTATGTGACGTCATTGTATTCGTTAATTTTTTTTATATAATATAAGGTGGCAAACGAGCAAGCGGCCATCTAAAATGCCCATAAACATCCGCAATTGCAGATGTGTTGTCTACCCTTATCCGACGGAGGAGGAGACCAACATAAAGAGGACATTTCCCCTTCATATGCCTCTCCTCTACTGTCAAATCCACTTTACCTTCCCATCCTTTCCTCTTAAGAACAGGATGAAAAGGGAAAGGGACTAAAATTACGCCTCCGGCACCACACTCATCAGACGAAACGCGGAATTAATCCACTTCACGCATGTTTTCTGTGTGGTCGTTGTATTTTACCGGGCGAGCCGACCCGTTCTTGCGAGGATGTTAAAGCGGGCTCTACCACTGTTAAAACTTATACTGTCTTGATATTATACGCTTAAAACATTTGTTTGCATTTTATTTCTTTTGAAACGTTGAAACTACTGAACTCATGATAGGAGTATGACATATGTTTATAGATTTATCTTGATATTAAAATTTACCGAACTTTTGACCAAATCTACTTATTGACATTTCTATTTCTATTTTCAAATATTAGCTTCAATAAATTCTTCAATTATTTGAATGTAAAGTAAATAGTTGAGTTTATTTAACTGTCAAAATTAATGAGGCAAGTTAATCGATATTCTGAAGGTAAACGAGTTTAATTGCTAAGTATCGTGCTGAGATGTCTGAGTCAGTGCCTACGTCATCGTCCTCTCGATGTTCTTTTAACGGCACACGTAACCTAGTCACCGTCCGTCGGAGGGCACTATTCCTATTATATAAAGCGTACAATACTCTTTTACGGTTACTATGTCTGGTGACATGTTTTCCGACGAAACGGACCTGGTTTTTTCAAGCTTTTGTTCTATTATTCCATTCAATGGACTCTAGACGTTTGCTCTAATATCTCTATTGTGGAACGAGTTGACTTTCCAATATTTTGAGTACTCGTATAGTGAGAGCGATTGCTTTGAGGATTTATTTTCCATACTTAGATTCTAAGAAATTTTTAATTTATGTTTTTAGTGATGTTATTCGACTTTAGCTGTTAATCTCTCTCAGTAATAATTTTAAACTACGAATTAAATGTTTTTCAAAAGAAAGATGGTGTTTTGGAATAATTTATAAAGTAAATTGTCAACGCAGTCGTAATGGGACAAGTTGCCAAAATTGTAGACGCCATTTTGTTTTATAATGTTCTAAATCCTGATTAGTCAGAGGCCGTTTTAGAGGACATTCAACTTTAGTATTATTTTTTAAGAGTAAAACGATTTGGCTCCATTACAGGACAACAAAACATGCGTTCAGTAAACACAAAAATGATAAGCCACGTTTTTTGATCATTCAAATATCATTACCACGAGAAGTTCAAGTTTATAAAAAAAAATGTAATCTGCATTATTGTCTGTGCATCTGTCCATCATAACTGTATTTGTTTTAAAAGCGTTTTTGTAGATAAAATAAAGCTTTAGTATTAAAAAAAACTGATTAATAACATAAACAAAGTTTATTAAATAGTGAAAACGAGAGTTCTATTAAATTAGTTTGAAATTTATGGCCAAAGAATCATTAATCGAGAAAGAAATAATTGGTTTGTAAAATTACTAGTCGGCAAGTTTTTTCTTTAAAATGTACAGCCGATTCTTATTCGATTCGGTCGTTAAATTGTTGTTTCTACCTTGTTAAAATAACTCAATTAATATGTATTATTAGTTACATTGTATAACTTGATGTTTTTTGAATAATAGTAGATACATTTGGTATATTATTGTAGAATATTTTAATGGCTTTTGTTGATTTTGTCAAGGAAATCCAGTGAGTTAGTGAAATACGTTAACAGTGTGGTAACACGTGGCAAGAAATAACAATTTATTTAAATAAACTTGAAGAGTTTTATGGAATGTTTAAACCAAAGATTTTGTGTTTATATCATGTAACGTATTCGTTAAAAAAGGATCTCAAAGACCTGCTCTCGGTTTCTGGTATTTTTTGTTTCTATTTTTGATTCACGGTTTAATGACTTGTGTTACATTGGCCCTTTTTTAAATTTGTCCTCCTGTCATCAAGGAAAGATTTATATTTTTTGTATGTATTGAAATAATTCAAAAACTACTGGAACGATTTCAAAAACCTTTCACCATTAAAAAGCTACGTTATTAGTGAGTAACATAAGCTAGATTTTTATTTCACGTGGATGAAGTCGCGAGTCACAGCTAGTATAATGTAAACTTAATTTTGTCCATCTAAATATTAATGCTTATATGAAATTATTTATTTTATCTCCAACCTTTTCACAGTTTTTTTTTATCCCTTTAAGTTTATGACTTATGTTAAGTTGTATAAAATATTTGTAAATTGGCATAAGAGCACGCATGTTTTTGTATTTTTTGGCGATGACTCATAATCTGATAAGATCTATCCAAAGAAAGGTCAAGGCTATTAAAAAAACTTATTTTCGCTCGATCAGTCCCATAAAGAGCAGGATCTTTTGTCTTTAATAAATCTTAACGACTTAAACATATTTCTCAAGAATATATTAATATTTTAAACACATGTTTTATGGAATTTAAAAAATAAAATGTTATAATAATATGATATCGAAGTTCAAGAGCATTACATATTAAAAATTAATATAAATTATTGTAATTCGAATATTAGCATTCATAATCTTATTTCAAAATAAATAAAATTTTGAATATCTTAAACTTAAAACTATTGCAATATTATAAGCATAAACCAATATATCTTAAATTATACATAAATAAAATTATATTTTTTATAAGAAAATGGACATTCAGAATATTTATAAATAACTTAAAAATAAACTTACCAAAATACAATATTTCAACCCCCGCCCCATGGCGCAGGCGTTGGCCCCGCAGACCGTAAGTCTGCTAGGGGTTCGTTCCTCGGTCAATATACAACACAAGTCAAAGCCTCAATACAGTGCCGGCTAAGTTCGTTACGTGTTAAAATTCGCTAACATGTCCCGCGCGCCAGCGACGGGCTTTTAATACTAAAATGTGCAAACTCAAAGATGCGCCTCTTATATGACTTCTTACGTTGTTCGGTACCGCAACGTATTTGGCATATACTTATGTGTGCGTGTGTTTTGGCGACGAAGCCTTCGTACACATGTGTGCGTTGGTCAGTGATAACACTCCATCTCTTATCCCTGATACATAAAAGTAGCAGTTTACCGTATAACAGCCCACATAAATCACATATCAGTGTAAATCTCATCCGAATTATTATAATTTTCACATTAGCGAAAATTAATAGCTTTTAAATGGGCGTAAAGTTTTTTTTTATAATAAATAATGTGATGCCGCGTTGTCCGGATGACGCGGCCCCTAGACATCGATTATGCCTTTCTTCTAACGGAAAACAATATTTTATCACAAAATTTAAGAAATTATATTACTTCATTACAATTTACTTTTCATATGTGTTGAGGAAAAACGATTGTGGAATAAAATTGCATGGAATTTACTTTTAATATTTGGGTTCTTTTGTCCGATAATTTGACTGATGATGGCAATAACAAGTTCGTAAACTCACCTAAATTAAAACTATAATTTATTGCCCTGTGATATCTTAATCATCTTTATTAATTCCAGGCAAGAGTAACTTCATATTTTCATATTAAAGAAGTTGTTGATAACGTGTTTACTAAACAAATCGCAAACATTTCGTAAATCTTACACTTTATGTCGTAAATGATGTTAGACAAATATGTCCTTAGATATTGTTAATTATTGGTCACTTAACATCATTTCAAAAATGTGAAAAAGAAAAAACAAAGCTATTTAACGTAAATAAATGATTTCGAAGTCAGAAAAATGTAACAAAACGCATGTATTGTAAACAGATTCGCGTGTAATCTTCGCTCTTCTTTTTAAAATTTCATGTTATTTAATTTTTTATTTAAAAACAGAGCAACCGTTTTTTTTTTTTTTGTGACTGATTTGTCACTGTTTGCCTTGAAGAGGCATTTACAGATTCACCGGGCTTGAGGTGGCCCAGCGCGGATGGCGCTTAGCCTAAACCTCTTTTAAGAGTAACTAGGCTCGAGGGCTCCCTCAGGAGCCTCGGCTCGGGCAAGAGCAACCGTTATGAAGTTAAAACTTTTTAAACATTTTCATGGAATTTTCTGATTCGGGGGTTAAAACATCTTTTAGTATTTAAACACTTATAACGGTTATAGTCAATAGGTCTCATTATCGTTATGTAGTGTACCAACGTAGTGATCCTGTAACTCTGCATCCATTCCATTTCAATCTGTCTGAAACATCAGTTAAAATGTAATTTGTCAAATTTAAAAGCCAAAATATATTGTTTAGTATTTAACGTTTAAAGTTTGTTCTAAGGTTGATAGTTGAACACAAATGACTTTAACTTAACTTTGTAAGTTCGAATTTGCTTAATGCCAGTCTGTGGGCGGCGCGGTCGTGTTTGCTTAAACATATATGGCTAATGTCCTTTTAAATAGTAACTAAGGTCTTTATTACATTTTTGTTTTCATTTTAATTAAGTAATAGAGTTTTAACAACAAAGAGATTTTTATTTGCTATGGTGTCAAATTGTATGAACACATTGCTTAAAAAAAGCAGCTGACAAGGTATTAAGTAACTGTCATCCAAATACATCCATGGCTGTAAAGTCATTCCAATAATATTGTGTACTAGCTTTTACCAGCGACATCCGCATGAAATAAACAAATTAGTGGTCTATTTGTTCTTCCAGACAATGCCTTATATCTATGTCAAATTTCATCGAGATCCGTTCAGCAGTTTATGGTATGAATTCTAACAAACATTCATCCATCCATCTAAACTTTCGCATTAGTAAGATAAGTTAAAAAGCTCTATAAGTGTGCACATCTGTATATGACCACTTCAACTACTTTAATTTTGTTTTATACGAGTAAAAATTGTCATTTCTTTATTGTCCAGTCGAGGTATTTCTTTAGTAAATCATAAATTTCGTTTCTCTTCTATATCTAAACTTTATTTGCATGAAAATACGTGGGAAGTATTCATATTTGTTTTGTACAATGTATGATTAATTCGGGTTAATAATTTTGGTGATTACTATGAAATTTATTTCAAAACTGGCAAATAACATGACGATAAATTACAATCAACAATGAGTTAACTATAGGTTTACACTGAGCATGTGTTGGGCTATACCATATTATTAACATTTGCAAAGTTCATGGTTGACATTTGTCATAGGTTTTTTGTATAACTTGTAAAAATGTTCAGTTAATTCGTTTTCTTAAAATGTGATATCTAGTCATCTTTATTGACAGTAATAATGACATCTCTGTTATCTTCTATATTTTTACATATAACGAGCTGTCACCCGCAAACTTCGTTAGCGCGGGATTTAAAAAAATGGTCATCTATAATAGTTCCGCGTGCATCTATTTTTTCCAGCTATCTTCCAGTCAAAGTTCCGGCCAAATCGGCCCTCCCGTTTCAGATGTAGCGGTCCGGTCGCCCTTGTGACAGCGCGGAATAAAAAAACAAAAGAAGCCTATAATATCCCTTTTATGTCAGCTACCCTTCAGTGAAAGTCCCGTCGAAATCGGCCCAGCCGTTTCGGAGATTACCCGGAACAAACGCGGCTTACGGACAGACAACAGCTAGTTACAAAATAGATATGAAAAAAGCCATATCAAATACCTTATAAGTAGTTTAAAAACAAAACACTACGTAATCAGCTGATTGTAATTGGAAGTTGTTAACAAAATATGTGTATATTTTGTATCCTAGTGTTATATAGAGAATATATCCGCATCGAGTATCCTTAACTATATTATCAGATAAGTGATAAAAACTTAAGTATATTGTGTCTTTTGGTCTAGGTTTTTTGTATAACCTAGAATCACTATATTTATTGGACCAATGTCGCTACATTTTTGCAAAATGTTAGCCGTTTATTGAAACTATAAATGAATAATTTAAAAAATTCCTACATTTTTAACCATCCTAAAAACTTTAATACTATGATATCGTATCGTAATGTCGTGTAGTTAGTTATAACAAACCACGTAAACGTATACTCCTTAGCTATAAGGCCATCACTTCCCTATCGTACTTGTAGTACTTGCGTTGTTTTCGGGTAACTTCTTCAAGGCACTTTTCAATACATTCTCACTTTACATCCAATATTATCCCGAATTAATAATTTAAATCATTTTTAATGTTCTGTAAAAAGTTCACTATCATAAAAACATTTTATGGTAAATCATAACTTTTTAGAACTCATCAAAATGTTTTATGATATGCTCTTGTTTAGGCATAACGGTTTAAACAAAACGACTTTAGGCACCTAAACGAGCTTCAACTGTAGGCGAGTCCCAACTACGGTTGATGTTATCGAAATAAATTTGCAATTATTTTCTAGTTCCTCCTTGTAACAGTAGGTTATCTTAAGATTCCGATCTAAGTGTGTCACTGACACTGCGAAAAAAATGTATTATTCTATGTGCGTATACCAAAATGTGAATCTTCATAGAAATAAACAATGAAACATTTGGTATTCTATATTCTTCGAGTAGAGTATGTGATTGAAACGATCTATTTTTAAAGAATCGATTGGGAAAATAACAATAAAAAGTGTTTATAGATTAAAAAAAAATTGATACCGATAAATCATTAATAACTATCTAATTTATAAATATATTCCAAAAACAAATGTACTACTTATATACGCATTTTAAAAATAAATAAATTATAGTAAAATAAATAGACTATTCTATTTAAACGACGTATTTCACATCTTTGCTAAAGCATGAAAATCTCAATAATTATACTAAACACAGAAAACATTTTTCTTTACAACGAATGAACTTTTAAATTAGTACCAGTTATTAATTTTCTAAGTTTCATTACCATACTGAAAATTTTCACTTGTACCAAATGTTTTGTACGTATTTAAAAGCAATGCATATATGCCCATCCTGTACATTTCCATTACCAAATTAGTAAATGTAAACACATTAAAATATAGGGAATATTTTCTTATAATTAAGTGTGTGAGAGCTTATTTTTTATATCAAACATTGGAATTCAATCGAACAATGTCGGGCGTCAACAGCTAGTTTTTCTAAAACTTGTCTCGTCTGCGAAGATTGACAAATATAAAATGAATACACATTCGTTCATCGACCTATGTCTAAAATATGTCGAAGTGGCGTATCCTGTTGATGTTGAAGTTGTAATAAATAGTTCTTTTGAACCTATCAAATGGAAATGTAAAGAAACCGTAAGCTCGCAAACGAATAAATTAAACGATTTCGTTCATTAACAGCACCTGGGGGCTACGGTTATATATGTTCTATTATATTCGATAAATGGAAAAATATTATAATCTTGATAAGGCAAATTAATTAAAATTAATCAAAACAACGAACTGAGGAAATAAATGACGTTAGTAGGTCTTAATTATGACTTAGTAATTGTGAATCTTAAGGAAATATCTATGTTTCTTGCTTTGTTATTAGGCTACAGAAGGATACTAACTTAAGTGTAACATTGCGAGATTAAGTATAAGCATATATAGTAAATCAATTATTATTATTAAATCATAATAAAATCGAACAATGACGGGCAGAAATTGTTATATAACTTTGAAATAGTATATTTGATGTTTGAAATACACGATTGCCAAATAGACCACTTTACAATTGTGTCTTTACAACAAATGGTTAATTTGACAAAGTATAAACACAATAGGAGTGAACAGTAACGCCTCTTGATACCGCCTTTCTTTAGTATCTTACCAATCTAAATAGTCTACACTAGTTTCTCTAACCTGACTTTCCGCTGTCAACTTGTACAACAAAATTTCTATCTCTGTTTCTTTAAAAAAACGATAAGGATGACATAACGATTTGGACAGGGGTTTCGGCAGTCGAAAACGGTAAGACATGTCATTTGCCAGACCACCCTTGTCACCTTTCGCAACATTTGTTTAGTTTTACAGTCACTTGTAGTCAAAACATCGGAAC